TTAGTACTTTTTCCATGTAGAGAAAAAATAAGCATGCTTTGTGCGCCATGCACTGTTTTATTGGCGTCCTAATAGTTCACAATTTTATCTGAAATTAATCAAAACGAGAATTCTCGTTACTCTCTCTCCCTCTTTAAATGCTGAGCTTTGAAAAAAGGTGAAAGCCACCCAACCCCTTTTCAACTCATCAAGTGTATTTGGTCAATGGTGCTCAAAATCTTGTGGAAAAAACAACAAAATTACAAGTAGAGATGGACATAACGGGACGATCATCTCATTATGAAAAAAGACACTGATTGCGATTGGTGATAATTTTCCTAAAAATGGAGACTTGAATGCGGGTAATAAGTTCAAAATCATTTATTTATTTATATCAAATGGCAGGCGTTTTAATGGTTATCAGTAGCCCTTTAGTTGACTTCAGGCTTCAGAGAGAGAGGAGGAACATCCAAGGGAAAAAGTCGATAGGGGGGGGGGGGGGGAGGGAAGAGAAGAGTGTTTCAAATATGTAGAAAAGACAGACAGACACAAAGGTAGAAAAAAGGTGAGGTGATTACTGTGGAAGTAGTCAAATATGACATATAGTGGGGTGATGGTAGATTGAAGACAGAAGTCAATTGCCGGTTAATAGACTTTTTTGTCGTATGAGAATACGTTGCCCAGGCTGCACCACGTGGAGGTAAGTCTATCGCACACCCCAGTTCAAAATCATGATTACACAAACTTAGCCGATTTTGGTTATTTAAATCCTGGAAAACGGAAAGTACGAAAGGGATATGCTCACAATTGACAACCTGGAAGCAATTTAAGAGAGAATACCATTCAACAACTCTTATCTTATCAAGAGTCAACAAGTATGGTTAGTCGTACAGGCAGTTCAAGGAACTTTGGTAACTTAAAACGCCTAGTTATCTTATTTCTGCCAGTGTGAAAAACTACAAGCTTTTGCATACAATCTAGGTTACTTTTGCCTTCTAAACAGTTTGAGAAAAAAAAACTATTTAAAGTAGCCATACTAACCTAATTTTGTTAAAATACCGGTTAATAAGTAGAGTATATCCAGGGAAAGAGTCGTGAAATTTGAGTCTGAGCACATCGGCTACCAATTTAACGAAAAATAGGTATCAAAGCCTTGAAATAAACGTATAGAGTGACTTGAACTCTTGTCATGTTTACCAATCCCCACACCCACCTTATCCTCTTTCTTTTGTTGAAACTTCCGCTAACTGGTTTCATTTGCTTCCCACAAATAAAAATAGTAAGTAGTTACCATTACTATGGACGATTACTGGCAATCAGTAAATGAGAGGTCAAACAATTAGAATGTTCAAACCCTTGAAAAATATAGCTATTTGTTAGCTGTCTAAAACTTCTAAAGTCGAAATGATTAAAAAATAGCTGCTCCTAAATCTGGAGATATTTCTGGTAATTTTTTTGGAATAGCGGTTTTCAAATGTCAATTTTCCAAGTCGCATAGTGACTGAAAAATAACCATGTACGTATATTCTGTATTCGCAATGTTTACCGCTCTTGAATCTACCGAACTAATTTTAAAACCAATATGGGAAGGGATAATCAAAGTGTATGAATATTGTTTTGTAAGGAATATTACTTACGAATTTCAGGGACCTTAAATATATGCGTTGAAAATGCTATAACCCTTAGTTCAAGAATAAACTTTTATGCCCATTTTTTTGGTTTATAGAAAGGTCAAATCAGAATCTAATTTTTCTCCACATTCGAATATGCAGAAAGTGGCAGTAACAGACGTAGTCAATCTTTTAATTGTTCGGATAGTCAGCCTGGTCAGAATTCAGTCCCAGGTGGCCGAAATGAGCGGCTGTGAATACATCCAACTTCTAGCACAGAGAGGAATGCACGGATGCGTAAGCGGGCGATACATCGCACCATGAGAGAGCAACGCTAAGTCCTCTGTTGTCCATGCAGTGTCTATCTTCATTCGCCATATTGCGAGGCGGCAGATAGATGACGCATCGGTTTGGTGCGTCCGCATTACCCTCCCGCGTACGCAAAAGTCATATCGATCGATAGCAAACGCTTGCGCGTCAACGTGCGTCTGTGTTATCTTGCCCATCCTCTCATCTATTCTGCTGCCACAATCTACTATTTTGCCATTATTTTTAACTTCGAGTTTTTTGTAGTCAAGGCAATGGTGAAGTTTAGTCTACCTTCATGACATAATGCTCGCCATTTCTTCACCTAATTGGTGGCATAAGTGATTGTTAATGTACTTTTCCATACCTTTATATGCTATTTTTTTAAAAAAATATCACGAAGTTAAATGTACTCAACGTACATTCGCTGGCAGAATTAAAGCCATTTTATTTGAACCACCTAGACAAGTGACGACTTGCGGTTAATACTCTAATGAATGATCCTTTGGGTCCCATAAAGTACAAACGTTTAAGTCCCGGCTAATAAGTATGCCTTGGTGACACTTTTTATCAACATAAAATAATCCACTTAGCTATATCAATGGCAGAACTCGTGATTTTTAGTTCAGAGTAAAGCAATAAAAGATTGCCTGCAAATATGCTTTTGAGATGCAAGATTATGCAAGGGAAAATAAATCACGCTACATGATAACGGTGACAATACTTGCGTCACTGATCTTGACAACTGGGTTATAAATTGGAAGTTCAAATTTTAAAGTTGAAAATTTTGAAAAGGCATCTATACAAAATTTCGATTTAAAAAATCAGCTAGCCTCCTGGACTATTTCATTTCAAAGTTGACTGGATGATGGATGAAAATGGTGTGCGGTGTGTTTACAAATTACCGTGTTTTCACTGTCAACGGAGGGTTTGACTACTAAAGCTCTCGAGATAAGCGTCTCTGTCGCGTAAATTGTTAATTACCTAAAGGCCATAAAATCTGTTTCGATAATAAGCACTAATCGCGCCCAGGATGGAGACACGCCAAACATTTTTTCCACAATATAAATGGGATTTTCTCTCTACCTCTGCCCATCTCTGAAAATTTTGGCTACCACTGTGGAAAAGTCGATCTCCTTGAACGAGTCTATGTCTATTTTCGGTTATCTTAGAGAGTTACAATCCTACTCCTTTCAATTTTGGAATTTTTTCTACTGGAATGTGTATGCAACATCTTTCCAAATTTTCCTTTTTGTTTTAGATCACAATCCTACCCTCGTACAATATTCGCACACTGTTCAGTCCCAGAAACAGTCCCTTAAATTGGCCTTGTGAGGGAATTTTGATATTTGCACATCTTCTTCACTACTCTTAATTTTAATTGGTGAAAGAAATTGATAAACTGAGCATAGCCAAACGCTGATGGACATTTTTTCATAAATTCCCCGTAAATCCGAATCTTTAAGTCTCAAAGACAATACCAGAACTATAATACACAGTGTCCATTTGAGTACGACGTATAATTGATTCAAGAGCTCTTCATGATAAACTACGCTTTATTCTGCTGATTGATGAACCATAAGTAGGGCAATAGTTTTTGTCAAGAAATCGACTTCCACGACTTCCTGGAGAAAAAATCTGCTCGGATTAGAAAAAATATCTTCCCCCAGCTGTCCAAACTTGATTTACCGAATTAAGGACTGTGATCGTTTGTCCAAAAGTGGATATGTGTAGCCTAAATTTTGGAATTTGGTCAATTTCTCCTCCGAAAATGTTAGCCTATACGACCACATTGCCAGAAAGGTGATATTTGTTTCTTCAAAAGTGTGCGTTGCCTACCAGGTAATTATACCAACAAATGTCACGTGAGCATTTGTCATTAAATGAATGTGCTCAATCGTTACGACCAAAAGGACCTTACTGTCATGACAACAAATGGCCAAACACTCCTCTCTTATTGGTTGATTTTATTCCTTTCCTTTTCTCCATTCAGCTATGTATCAATGGCGATTCCATTTATCTACCCTAAAGGGCAAGTCTTTCTTGATGAGTCCAAACAAACGGAAATGAGAAGTGGCAGACTTCAGACAAGTTGGGTTTATGAATTCCTCGGTCTCAAGTAGCTTCCTTATAATTGGATCCTTAAGTTCTGTACAGCTCTTCGTTTGAGTTACAGTGGCCTCGTTTCTGCAGCCACATCAACTAACAGCACGAATTAAATTCGTGTTTACCATAGTTGTTCCGAAGAACATACTTATAATCACATAACTTAATGTATCTCTTATGAATGAAAACGAATCGGCGGCTGCAGTAAATTAGTGACAAAACTAGCTTTGCTGACGATCTTCAAAAATCGACAACAATTTGACTCATATGCGCGCGTTTACAAGATGAATCATTTAATTTTTATTTGACAGCGCCTGTCTAGAGAGTTAGAACGTTGCTATTTCTGCAGAGGCTGTCTAAAGAGTCTCTATACTACTAACAAGCAGATATCAGTAACCATTAAAACACCAACCCAGCAAAATAGAGAACGAATGGCATAAAGAGGGCGGTTAGTTGTATACTAATGCAGTAAATAAAGCATGCTTTATGTGGAACAGTGGTGAGCGAGAAGGAAGGTTTTATAAGGGAAGAGAAGTAGCTGTTTAGAAGAAAAAAACACGTAAAAAGGAACCTACCAAAATCGAAATCAGTCAGCATATGTACAGTTTTGTTCTCATTCATTCACGCACCCAGGAGAATAGTATTAAATATTTACGTATATAAATATATGTATATGCATTGCGTTGTGCTTATGCTGTGCTGTGGTAATAGATTAAGTAAAATCGGCATTTTTGTTGTGACTGTTATCCGCAGTTGGTGGCGTCGAAAGGGGGTAAAACCGGAGAGAACGAGGGAGAAAATTGATAGAAATAAGTAGTAGTAAACAATTGAATTGGGATGACCCGCTTGCGAAAAATCAATCGAAATATTACGTCATCGTCGTCGTGATCATGGTAGGGACAGAGACATGCAGAGAGTGTAGAAAAACTTGGAGGGGGGGGGGAGGCAGTTATGTTTAAACCTGGCGCTTGTAGTCAGAATACTAGAAAAGGGGGATTTTCAAGGCAGGCACATTTGGGCCGAAGAGAACCAACGATGATCAGGTTGGTTTCCGCCAGTTGACGTCGAATTTGGAGTAGAAGGATTGACCGACGGTTTCATCGTAGTTTCCATGACAGGATTCATATAATCATCCGCCATTGCCATCTTGCTTGCTGTTCCAGGACTAGCATAGCCACTAGTACTGTTTGTAGTGTCCATAGAGGACGAATAGCAACCACGAGGGTTAGGCGAAGTCATAGGACCACCTTGAGATGGGGGTCCATGTTGAGTATCCATGTGTCCACTACCATAGTAACCACCTTGAGCTGCAGCCGAGCTGCCCCTGTGATGGTAAGCTGGTTGGACACCTCTCATATTTCCAGAGGGCTGTATATACCCCATTCCAGGAGGGGCATACATGCCTTCTTGTGATTGAGGTTGCTGTGCCGAGGCAGCATGATGAGGAGGCATTTGATTTGCATACATCGACCTACCTTGAGGCTCTTGTGGATACGACGGATTCCCCCACGTGCACTGCTGATAGGCGCCCTCATTCATATCTAAAATAATAACGGCATTTTAAGATTTGAAATAGGCTTAAAAAGGGTTTTGCTTTTTGAGACTGGTTGCATATAGAGAGAAGGGCGCTGAATTGTCACTATAACTTATAAATTCGTATGACGAACAATATTAAAAAACACATGTAACAGTCCTAACGGCATCTTTACTCTGGGATAATTTTCCGGCGAAAATTTAAACAGGATAATTCTAATGACCTCACGACACATCCAGTGGAAATAGTTTCTTGTCGACATTTTCCCCAACAGCGAGAGATGTTTCCTATGTGTTCATAAGCTTACACATCGCTTTCTGCCTTCTTTCTATCTTAGTTGGACTGAATTTCAACAACGGGCTTCTCTTCTCCTTTAATTTGCGGCTACTTTACAGCAGGAAAAAGTAGCATGATAAGTGATGTTCTGAAGATTCCCTATCTCGATACACTTAGACGTTGGTGCATAATCCTATTACAGTCAGGTTGCATTCCAACAACCTAATGCCCACGCAGTTCTTTGATTCAACGCACTTTTTCAAAAAAGAAGGGACTGTATAGCAGCAAACAGATGCAATTAGCCGGAGGAGAAAGTCTGTCGGTGGCGGGGCGGGAAAAGCAAGCATGCGTATGGGAATATGTCCACACGTCCACCAAACCGTGTTTTGCACCCAATGAAACGGCTGGATGACTGGTTGCAAAGTACCGAAACAACATACGCGTATCTTTGAAAACTTTTGCTTCTCATTGCTTCTCTGCCGCTATTGTCAATTACTGAACGAGAATCACGAAATTCAGCTTTGTGTTGTTCGCTAACTGGGTCAGCTACTGCGCATGAGTACGCCTTTGATGGAACGTGCTTAAACAGGCCGCCAGAGTTGTAGAACATGGCAACACTATTCAACAAACACTTCTTATAGTTTTAAACGCGCTGATTCGTTCCCACAGTTTAAGAAGTGTGCTTTCCTATAATCATGGAGGGAGGGACTTAGTCCTCCGATTTAAAAATGCAAATATTGGCAAGAGTATTAACTTGAAGACTTGGAAATAATGACATTTATTCTGATCTCATTTCTGGAGGGGATTAGGCGTCTTCTAGGGTTAAATGTGACCTTATGTAACCCGAGTGACGTTGATTGATGTAGGATTTGACACGGATAGGATATCTTAAAGTGTACACACACCGAGTTTATCTGTGGCAAGAACTCGAATCATTAGCATTTTTGTAGAAATATGATTCTGCAAAAACCTGTGCCTACGTGACATAAATTCACAGCCATCCATTTATCATATTCCTTCTCATACACGAGATGCCTAACATACTTCCTTAAAATGTGCCAGTGTGCGCACAGCTACTTAGACTTACGAGCGAAAACACCAAAATCAACCAAAGTAGACTCTACACCAAATAGCTCTAATTTCACGGTATAAATGATCAATTACTATTCACTTCTAACGCTTCAAATTGTAAAATTTAACGTATATACACCGAGAGATTGTCCAATTGAACCTACTTTGTTGCTGATAGCAATGTGGTGGATGCTGCTGTTGCTGCGGTATCTGTTGTTGGACATTCATTGGACAACCGTTACTACTGCCCCCTGAATAAGTAGATGAATTGGGAGGTGGACCGACCATGGCCATTAAGGAGCTACAACCGTTACCACTGCCACCGACTGGTTCATTACTTGAGTAATGGTAATTTCCGGGAGGCGGAGGTGCGTATCTCTGAGGCGGGGGTCCTTGCTGTTGTTGTTGCTGAAGTCCTCCATAGACCATCGATTGTCCATGATGTTGATGATACATGGGCTGAGGAGGTGAGAAACATGTTGATGTGGCAGTGACAGGTGACATTCGACCACCACAACTAGTGTCCATGGGCAACGGAGGTGGAGGTGGCGTATTAAGGGTGTCAACAACCATCTTCCCACTTCCTACAACCAAAGATGAGTCATCGATATTTGATTGTGGACCCTGGTTCGAATTCGGGGGTGGTGAAGGCGAAGTCAAACGAAGAATGAGTGTGCTTGCGTAGGTCGAAATAGCTTCGTTTCTTGAGCTCGCTAGCTCATTCAAACGGTTAGAAATTCCTGGAACTGAAGCAATGGCGTCGAAGGTGTCTCGATCTTGGGCTACTTCCACTAATACTCCAAGAGCAGCTCTGTGCACGGACTCATTCGTTGAGGTACAGAGGAGATGGACGAAAATGTTGAGACCAGGTGTACATGGACCACCAGACGAAAAACCGGGACAGCTGAGTGTTGGAGCCTAGGCAGAAAGAAATAAAGCATCCTTTTTTAAAAGCAGAGGAAATACAAACTATTTCACTTGGTAAAGAGGGCAGGCTAGAAGCACTCTGGAGACTTCTCCTTATAAGGAAGGAAATCTCGCACATCTTCTAAACTATTGTTTAAATAATGAGGAAAGCGAAAAAATTTTTCATTAAATTTGATATAACTTTTACCTGATACCCACCGGTTCTAGTTAGTGTTACTTATATGCCAAGGGTAAATACTGTTCTCCTGCTTCGACAAGATTTTAAACAATTGTCTTTGCTTAACGACCCTTTATACTCAACCAGCATTTTTTGAAATGACTGACTGAAACGATTCTCTGACGGAATATTTTTAAAGCTAGGAAGGCGGTCGGCAATTTCCTTCCATTAAAGCAAACAATAAGACCTTATGAAGAGCCTCTTAAAAAGAATTCGGCCATTGTCGCTCGTCAAATATACTACAAAACCAGATATGCATAGACAGTGCACATTCACACGGAGGTGGGCGCTCCACTCCGGCAAGCAAGAGAGATAAGAAAACAAAGCCTGTTGAGATTTTGTTAATAGAGGGGGCAAGCACAGACCGAGGGAGGGAGAGAGAGAGAGTAGATGGAGATTTGTCATAGGTCGTCCCAACTGCGATATCAGGCGTAAAATGTGGGTGGCAAAATGGTGGGCATAATTTTCGATTCATAAAACGACCGAATCATTACGGAGTGGGAGGCCTTATTTTCCTTTGAATAGCCTTCCGTTAAAAAAATTAGCCCCTTATATTGCGCTTCGTATAGGGAATTGGTCCTTATCCTATGCGATCGGCCAGGGTTATTGGGACACATACAGGTCGAAAGAATCACGATAGAATACTAATTACTCAAAAGCACAAACCCCCATAGTATCTTTGGATTATGAGACTGGTAGGGTGCCCCTGATTAGTCGGTAAAGTAGCAGTAATGAAAAAACAAGGAGTTTTAATAATTCTATTCTAATCACGTAAGCAAATCTAACTGAAACGGGTAACATGTTCGTTTAGAGAAGTTCATTGTAACATTAATTTTCGTTTTAATTGACACCCTCCCTCTCCCCCCCCCGCCCTCAAATCAAGTTATAATTTCCACAACCGAAAATACCTGAGGGGGTTATCTAAAACGAATTACTGGTAGCAGATACAAAAATAATTAAGACTTTAACAGGCTTCTTTGTGGTAAAGAAAGGAAATCGGACTAAATGGAATTTTCCCCTCATGGCAGTACAGAACCTCCTAGTCGTGTCAAACCGAGACAGATGAAACGTCAACTTTGCAAATTATTTTACAATTGAGCTGCCGTTGAGGCAATACATGGTGCGCTGAGCGAAAATCCCAGCTCTTCTCAGAAAAAAAGGAGGGGGGGGGGTGAGGAAAGGAGGGTTACGTGAATTCTGTGAAATTTTTATCTTGAGAATAAGAAAGGACTTTAAACTCCGTAAATGAAGGATTTCGGCGTGTCATAATCAATTTTGGCGTTTGGCATTTGGTGCTAAGTTGTAAATAAAAAAGAGTGGTGGGTTTGTCAGGTGCATACACACACACACACACTCGCATGGTTCTCGTGAGATTTCTCTCAAACAGCGGCGATTTATGTCTGCCTTTAGTAGTATGGAAGGTGGAACTTCCAATAAATCTCCAGTTTAACTAAACTGACAACTTGTAGGACTTATTAAAAATTTTAGGGTGAAGGTAAACACATGAATCAACTTGAGAGCCTTTTAGGTAAATATAACTCTATTGAGCGTTTGTACGTACTGGTAATGGTTAGAAATGGCGCAAAAAACCATGAGAGTTTAAATAGAACTTTATACCCACTATTTCGGCAGAAAACTCCAGTTGGGAAAAATTTAGATCAAACTGGACTTTGCATTTATTAAACAAGTGCATCAATAGTGATCCAATTAATAAGATACAGCTATAATATCAATCTAAAACATGGAGACCGATGTCACGAATTTCATCTAAGACACTACCCACCACCCACAGAAGACATAACTCCCCTCGGGATTGATTGATTTCGTCCATACGTCAATCTTCTATTCTTCTCTTCTTGAAGTTAGTCTATACAAATTAATCATCAACTCAGCGATTCGATACATTGGAGTCGATATTTTGAGCATTATGCATTTTACTGAACCCAAAGGCATCTAGCGATACAGCAGTCTATAAAATGGGTAATTTCTATTAAAACAATTACGGACTTGAAATGAAGTGAACTACAACCTACAAATTGAAATATATTAGTCTAGTGAGCATAGTAAAAAATGGCTGGGTAAGCTAAAGAAAAAAACTCGTATTCGGATGTAAAACCTCGGAGAGACCATCAACTTTTAATAATTTTAACTGCCAAACCCCCCCCCCCCTTCTTCCAAATTCTGACCCGAAAAGGTAGACGACTTAAAATATGATAATAACACCAAGTACATATCAGTATAATCATTGGGAAATGGTTAAAGCATTTAAGGTCAAAATTTTAGAAATGTCACAGCTGACATCCTTCCTATTAGTAAGCCGGATAATAACAAAGACCAATAGCGCATAACCCATCATCTTGGAGACATTAGGGCCAAAACCCGCTATAAAAACTTGAATTTTACACTTATAATAAATAAATGACAACTGGAAGGGTCCCGAGTCTATTGAAGCACTGATTTGTTTACACCTTACCTCTTCACAAACTACTAGAAATGCTTAAAGCAACATAGAATCTTATATGTAGATACTTTCTCATACTTAAATGAAGCGTACTTGGTCCACACTGTTGCTATAACTGATATAACTATTGATCAGTTGTCAAGACATTGACCAGAATGGTCCACTCACTACTGAAGGCCTTCATTTATGGCATAACCACCCACGCATTAAAGAGGGAATTAAAGTATCAAGCAAAATTGTCTAGGAGAACAATCATCTTCTATAGCATAAACTACTAGATTTGATTTCTACTGAAATTGCTTTATGCATGAATCTGCAGTAAAATGAATAACTCACCCTGAATCTCGATAGATGCAGCCGGGTTCCAGGTTCCCTCGAAAGCATGTGCATGGCGACGCAGATCCCTTCAACAATCTCCTCCAGTCGCACATTGTGAACCATTGTCTGTGAGGCGGCGTTTGGTCCGCTTCCATTCCCATTTCTCTGGGCAGCTGTCGCTTTGCGCTAGAAGAGGGAAAAGAATAAAAAAGAGAAACCGACCAGTTAAGGATTCTAAGCCATTTTTCTAAGACTCATTGGAAGATTTTCACATACACGCGAGTTTTCACAAAACATCAATACCCACCACCACGCAAGCTAGTCTTGAAACGCAAAAAATACGTGGATTTTAGCGTGAGAGTGAAGGGTTGCATTGAATTCAAAAGAAATAGGAAATTAGCATCCCATTTGCATTAATTTTCAAGGAATTTGGGGTGAATGAATACGGCTCTCGGTCTAAAACAATCCGTATGAGAACCGAGGTGGGAAGTCATTTGCATTGCATTAAACGTGAGACGATTTTAGTGAGTCCAGAAAGCTACAATTTTTCAGCTTCAAATGGCACAAATGCGATACTACGTTTGAAATATTGATTAGATCAAGCGAAAGAAAATGCTATTCGAATTTAAGAAATGTTAATCTGTAATTAAAATATGATAACGAAAGCGCATTTCATTAATTAGTAATTGGAAAATATATCACTTTTAAATCGCATATATTGTTGTAACATTCTTAATGATGATGTTCCACTTAATAGATAGTTCGGAGGAGAGGAATAATTCCATTGATTAAGTCAAAATAGTACCGCAAAATTCGTTTTATGGCATGGAAACTGATCAACGAGGATTTCCTTATGAAATTCAACTTGACACACAAGCTATGGGACTGAATTAAAATAATCAGAACGAGTAAACAATTGCAACACTAAGATTGTGAACTAATTATATGACTTAAACATTTTGTTTGTATCACTCAAAAATATAACGGGATATTTAGATGGATGGCTCTACCAACTATTTGATCATTATCGTCAGTTAACCGCAAAACTTCCTTCTAAAACTAGGATATTTTTCATAGTTGTTTGCAGGTCTTAGTAGCTCCAACTAGACAAATATTTGATCATCAATTTTCCCAAGAAGAGACTAACACAACTAACTACAAATAAATCAACCCCCTATATTTGGCCTTTTCTGTCCTTCATCGTGTTGTTTAAATGCTCTCCACGATCAGGGAAATTAGAAAAAATTTACTTTGCTATGGACATCAGGCTTACATGTAATTCCACATCAATTGTATTCATTTTTCTATTTGACTACTCCCCCCCCATCAAGGTTAATCCATTGTTACGAAATTTTGGTCTCCGTAATGATTGAAAACTAACCTCAAGTTCAACTTTACATCATGAAATTACAAAAGGGTGAATACTAAAATAACAAACGAATAGTGATTGATTCACTTAAAGAGAGTAAAATAGTAGCCCTATAGGGAATGCAAGCACTTCCTATAGGGCTAGATCTAGGAATGCTAAACCAGTCATCCGACGAGCAAGACGACTGCGCAGACTTTATCCGCATGTCTGGTTTAAAACAAGTCATCGTGGCATGGACTAATTAACCCATTAAGACTTGTAAGTTAAATTAACAAATTATTTCTGTCAATTAATTCAACCAAAAGTACATGCTTAATGAAACCTCTCAGAAGTTATATAAACCAACTGGTAGAATTGTTGAAGACAATCAGATCAGATCATTGATAAGGAACGCAAATTTCAGCCAAACGTGTGGAAATCTAAGGACCTATAAATATAGCGAGTTCAAATGTATACAGTTCAATTTGAGTGTATTATCGAGATTTTTGTTATGCTAAAATTATGTTAGGTAGCACCATGTGACCAAAATAAAAGTGGGTAGTGTATGAGTGTAGAAAGGCAAAATAGCATACATTTTTATTCCAAAAAATAGTAAAAACCAAATATACTGGGCAATCAGTGGTTCACGGCAAGTAGTTAAGATGCTCTCCATGATCTTCGATACACACAACTGTTATTAATCAGTGACAATGCAACACTGAGCAATACAGAGTATACACAAAATAGCGTTCAACATCACTTTCAAAACAAGGCAGGACGCAGGACCTCCTTTGTCTTCGTCACACAGCATTTTCTTAACCATTCAAACAAGTTGCTGGAAAGACATGATCAACTGTCTAAATTACGCAAGTGATCAATAATTTATCGATGTCTCGAACATAAATTCACCCGGATCCTGGAACTTAAACATCGAACTAATAGAAGACAAATAATTGAGCACTAAGTCAAAAGTATATAATTTAGGTCTAAAAAGCAAATGAGGTAAGACATTTGACATCCTGATATTACTTTATTTGAGTTCAGACAAGTTTCCGTAATTAAATATACTATTTTTTGACATTAAATTAGGAAAGATAACGACTGATTATAAACCAAATTTTCTCAATTTCTGCTGTTCTGTTAGTTGGTAAGGCTGAATGGTGTACATACACCATTCTTCCAAGATTCTTTCGCAAGTAAACCCTTTCTAAGTGCGTCGCAGATAATTTCGCTCGATATTTAAGGCCTATTTCAAGATGATAACCTCCACGGAAAAACTTCACACTCTGCCTAGGGAATCATTTATGTTTACATAAACGAGAGTTAGGATAGCATATATATACAAACAGAGTAAATGGAAGCTTAGCGTACTGAAATTTGCTTGCCAGCCAAGAATTATTCATCAATTGTTTGTTGTCCAGATCCTCGCTACATGTGTGCAGTCGGATGCGTGATTGGTTGTACTAATCAGCTGGAATCATTATTTGTTATTGCATACTAGCCTGAATAATTAGTACGATCTCAATTGTTGTAGGAAGTGAATATATTACTTTGTGAAATCAGAATGGCTTGTGGTTCAGAAGACCGGCTTTAATCGCTTGCAAAATTCAGTTAAAATAAGACAATGTTATTGCTTTTTCTAGGGCATTTAATTTCTTATTACATCGTAATATCTTTACGAAAATATACCGCCACTAATTATAATTCATTCTATGATTTTTAAATAATAAAGAAAGACACCGGTTTTTAAGCTGTCATTGGTTGAAGAATCACTGTAGCTTAGAATTAGGAATATATCTTCAGAGGAGCATATGTAATCATATGTGGCGAGCGCAGACGACCAAACCCAATATTAACCCAAAAATGGGGAAAATGGAGACAAGCAGTCACTAGTTTGATTTAATTGCAGAATATTATTCAAAGATCAGCTTTAAAGTCATTGGACCAAATGCCATTCTTTTCTTCCTGAATTTAGAGATTGAGAGTTATTCATCAATCTAATACACAGTACACTCCCAGTGTTATGACAATTGACGATAATGCCAACTCAATTCGTATGAAACGAATTTCAACAGACTTAAAGATAAATATAAAATAGGTAAATGAGCAAATTAATGGGTGGAATAACTTATTGGGTCATTTTTTGCGAATTATGGAGAAAAAGATTATGTATAAACTTATTTTTTGCTGATCTTTATTTCTTAACTGACACTAAAAATAAGAACAAAAAATAGCACACAAATAGCTTTACATAGAGTAGATCTCAAAATATATACCAACCAAGATTGAACTCAAAAAGTTGCACAGAAATCGTCCAAACTTCAGGACAATCGATGCCTGATATTTTTAATTAAACTATATATTTCGTTTGGCTCACAAAGGGTTAGAGAGCACTTTCAAATAAAACTCAAAATGCTTTGTATCACGCAAGTTTCAGAGTTTGATCAGGTTCCTCGATAAACTGTGCTTTGTATATTTAACTGTCCTAAAACATTCCGAACTCGATGGAATAGACTTTCAGGGCGAAACCCATTTCATTTATACCAAATGACAACAGCGGAACAGAGCCATTATAGAACTACCCGTACAGACAAAGACAAGACAGGATCAGACCTGAGCCATTAATTGATGTGCGCGTTTCACACGTCTGAAGCGATCTAGGGTAGCAAGGAGGTAGTAAATTACTTTGCATTTATCAAAACTACAGATCGTAAGTCAGACCATATTTAGCAAGACTAATGAGTTAAGTGAGGGTAATATAAGAGAGCCGCAAAATGAATGTAAGCGAATCTTGGAATGGTTAAGAAAGTCAGAAAAGGAGAACACGATAGCGTCACCACAGTCGGTGTCTTGTCAAAATAATCTCTTTCCATATGGCTCGCAGAATGAGTAGGGATAGAGACAGAGAGAATTAACTGTGGTTGCCGACATCGCCTCTTTAATATTACGATGTAATCATGAAAACAAAAAGGGGTAAATTTTGAGTGAAAAGAGTGAAGACGCTCCCAAACACAACCCACCCAATAAAGGGGCGTTGATTGGGTGGGTTATAGAGTGAATTTTAAAGACACTACACTTACTCAGGTTCTATGCGTATATATATATATATATATATATACAATAGCAGAGACGTAAACGCTTAAGATACTGTGAAAAGAAACGCGGCATGCAAATGACGAGGGCGCATCACAAGTACTGTCTATGGCAAGGTATTTAAGCTGATGCAAAACACCAGTCAATTGACTGCTGGGGTGACTAATTTCATAGAAAGAAAACGATGAGTCATTCTTCTCTTTCGGCAATACTCAGAACAGACCAAAACACAATCGACTAGCGTGAATGTGAATTCAGTTGGTCCCAAGGAGAATTTTGACATTACTGGTCGCGATCCACATTTATGTACAAAATATAAACCTTACCAAATTGGAGGAACGAGAGAAAGGGGAGGTAAAAGCTAGCTTTCTCTTTTATCGTGAGATAAATTATCCTATTTGAAAACGCTCTCGTGTGGGCAACGCTTTAGCGTTAGGCATGGAGAGCTAGAAAGCATAAATTATTTATTCCCCAACCGTTCTCCCTATTCAGTACCTCCCTATTTACTTTTCCTCAATGATTTGGTCAAATAGTGCATGAAGTGAAAGAAAACTTAATAATATAAGTTATCTAAAAGCTAAAAATCAATCAATAGGCCCAATTAAAAATGGGAAAAATTAGGATAACTGAAAAGGATCGATGGACGATTGAAAATAGGAGTGATGATAGAAGGGCATGTCCGTATATTTAAAATAATTATTAATAGAATCAGTCCGAAACAGTGCCTATTGATAAAGTCAAATACACATTAAGACGTGGGAAATAAGATGGAACTCGGGTGCTGACCTTTACATCGAACTACCGATCAAATATTCCCATCATTAGACCTGACCTCCCGGCACAAATTAGTTATAAATGCCAATGACATGGAGAAGATTTGAGGATACGAATTGATTAGAAGAAAAAATAATCCTCTCCCAAATGGATCCTCACCTAAAAGGGAATCTATTCAAGCCTAAGAGACTTTAAAATCAATAATTTCTTAGGTTTAGAGCAAATAACGAGGCTTTCAGCCGATGTTCAAGGGAACAAAGCAAGGGCCAACACCAATGCTGATGTTTATAATCAATTTTAGACTGAGTAAAGAAATACAAGGTTTGAAAGTTGAAATTGGTGTACTTACTTTGGCAATTTCATACTGCGTAGCGTAAAGGAGAACAGAGAGGCCGGCTACAATTCCCGTCTCCAACATTGGACGATGATTGTCCACATTCATTGAGAGGTTGCGCAGCAATCCAACTACGGCTTTAACAAGAGTCCAAGAGGTAAGAGGAGTGTGAGGAGGCTGACAGACAAGACACAATTCTGGACAAACTCCTGCGGTCGCAGCGTGGAGTACATGAGCAACAGGGATATGACCTCCCAATTGAGTTACAAATTCACTTCTCGCCTTCTCCTCTTCATCATGACGACTTGTCAAGTGGCGCAGAGCGCACATACTAGGTTCGAGAATCTCCTCTTTAGCATGAGAGTGCCCGAGGGCGTGAAGTAATCCACGAAGACCACCTCTCTATTAGAGAAAGTGGTTATCAAAGGAACAAAATCGAATACTTACCCTATAGACAATGAGTTTGTTGGCACTGTTGTTACAAGTGAGATTAGATAAAATCCCCGCAGCACAAGTAACAATGTTTAGATCATTGCTGGCAAGAAGTTGGACAACTGTAGTAAGGATTGGTTGAAGGTCATTTAATTTAGTGGCAGCGTCTGAAAGATTACGAAGTGTCCAGAGGCAATTGAGTACAAGACGAGAGCTTGTATTGTTCAAGTGTTTTGCTAGAGCTTCCATGCCCCCTACTTCAATAATCACCGGTTTGTTCGAAGTGCAGACACTAAGAACTTTTAAGACACGAGCTGTAGTCCAGAGAAGTTTCTCATATTGATACGTGTTCAGGATTCTAATCAGTTCAATAGGCCCACCACCAGCCAGAATTTGAAGCTTACTTTCCTGGTGGCTGTAGGCGAGAATCTGCAGGCAATCGGTGCAAATAGTAAGGAATTTGATGTTATTTTTCTGAAGAAGGGACGTCAATTTCTGCAAGCATCCACTTTGTCTGACAACTGCTTTAGCACCTTCTTGGTGAAGAAGAAGGTTGTGGAGAGTGGTAATTGCGTAAAAGAGAACCGACTCGACAGGGGAGTTAAGAAGTCCAACGAGACACGGAACGCAATTCGCGAGGAAAATTTCCTAATAAAATAAAATAAGCTGAAAATGGATCTTACCTTGAGACCAGTTTGAGTTTGAGACATGTTGTATAGCGTCCCGGCAAGTAGTCTAACTGTCTCAGGATCTCCAGTGGGATCAAGCGCCGAAAGGATACACGAAATCATTTCCTTTGATTGAATCAGAGCATCTATAGCCTCCGACTTGCTAAGGTGAAAAACCATTGTTGAAGCTTGATAGATGACAAATTTATCATCCTCATCTTTGATGAGACGAACAAGTTCGGGTATCGCATTCTCAGCCTCATCTGTGTCTAGGTCAGAAATCTTATTCCCCCTAGGATCCATTGTAGCATCAGATCTGGAGCATGTCATGCTAGACATTTCACTGTTGGGGTCCATGCCAATGATACTACTAGCACTTGGGGTACCGGGTGAGAGGAGGCAAGACTCCGATGGATACACCGACATTGGCCCACTTGATGACCAAGCTTGGACATATGGACCAGAAGCTTGACTAAGAATACTTTCCTCTGGTTCATTCTCGTCAAGGTTTGCTTTGCTAGTAATGCTGGGCGTATGAGTAGTTAAAGCAGAATGAATTCCAGAATCAGTGAGGTACTGATTTTGCTGCCAAAGGCGAGTTTGCTGCTTTTTATCAAGAGGTTGCATTGGTGCTTCTAAAAGGTCATATGTTTCAGACAAATAAGAGCAGCTCGAAAGTTCTCCGCGTGACTGGTTAACAGATTTTCCAGTGGAGTCAAAATTAGCCATGATTTTTAAGCACAATATTAAAATGAGATTGAATCGCACCAAGCACCTCAGAAATCGAAATCCATGGACGCCAAGAAATGGCCTTGAGGAGATGTCAGCTATGCCGTTAGCAAGTTTAAACGGCTGTATTTTGTCGAGTGACGCAGAATTACATTAATTAATGATTAAATATAAGTATTTCATAAAACTTATTTACTGAAGTAGGATCAATTTGGTTATGCTGTAAATATACAGTATATAATGTTTTTATAAAATTGTAAGTAGTAAATTTTGGTAAATCAATAAATTATTCTAGAGCATTTATCTCTGCTAAAGCAATGTTTAACCCGAATCAACATTCAGAAGTTTATTAATATTATGATTTTATGAATGCACATGCAATAAGAAAATCTAGACGAAATTTCAATCTTGTTATGTTTCCATTAGATTAAAATTTTTGAATAAAGTGCTTCAAATCACTGACTTAATTCAGAATTCCTATTGCTATATCATATAAATTTCAGTATCAAAGTGCTTTTGCTTGTGTTTCATCAATTTCTGTGAAAGTTTTTTAAAATTATATGGTGTAGTGATTTTTTGGCAGAACCGAAGTGTCGATAACTAAAAGTTAATCTTGGCAAATCTAATAGCGAAAAAATTGAAAGTGCTTACAAATGCTAGCCATTAGTACATTTTTCACTAAGTCGGCGATGAGTTAGCTGAGAAGGTAGACCAATATATTGTAAAAAATTTAGGCCACCTGGAAAGGATTTCTATACTAGATGGCAGCAATGTTATAACGGAAAAAATCCAATCTCTTTTGGCATCCATAGTTAAATGCGCACGAATGGATCTTGTGCAGATACGAAAATTAAGATCATGTCTTATTATTAACCATCGGTTTTGATAAACATTTCTTGTCTCTGGCAGTGGCCATTTCATTGGAGTTCTTGGTGGGGTAGTCTAGAAGGAAAGTGTGGATGATAATAGCTTTCCTCGAAAAGTAGATAAATTATTATGCCTGTCTTTGATAATTGTAAAATGAGGAGTGAGACAATTTGATCATAAATTATCGATCGTTTTTGGTTTAATATTCGCGTTTCACTTTCTTGCACCAATAAGTTCTTAAACCTGAACAGCAGCTTCATTGTCAAAGGAGGATGGATATTTGGAAATATGGCATCCGAAGTGGCCTTCTTTAAGATGCTCAAGTTTGAAACGACGCCCTTTTATAAACGCAAATTTAAGTTAGACCACAGGGTGCGCGATAGACTTACCTCCACGTGGTGCATCCTGGACAAAGTATCTTCGTACGGTAAAAAGTCTACCACTCGGCATTTGATTTGAAAGGGCTAATGATAACTATCATAAAGCCTGCCATTTGAAATAAATAATAATACGTTAAAGCACTTATAGCGTCTGTTTATGGGAGAATTGAGCCCAGGAATTTTTCAAAAGATGGATCGATAGCATTCATCGCCTTAAGATAGGCCAAATATATTTTGTGATAGCTTCCACTGCATTTACCAACTTGCATGGTTAGGCTATTGTCACGACGGTGATCAGCCAATCTTTTTCCATAAATATCACTGCATCAAGGTTGCTTATGAATGCTTAAAGACAACTCAATTATTCACCCGGTCTTCAGAATCCTTCTCCGAAGTTGAGAAATTCGTCTAGGTGAAGTTTTTCGCGACTGCAAAGGCGTAGGCTACCAAATCCATATAGTCCATTTATGGTTAAATTTACATCTCTCTGATTTCACAAGAAATTGCAACTGCAACAAATGCTATCCGATAACACCATATAAACTACCAATAATTAAATTTCAAGATAAAGAGCACGTTTTTGTGCTCATAGGTCATTATAGATAGTGCGCAATTTACATCAGTGGCATAAGCAAATTCATTTGAATGAATGAAGATTATAAATTTTTCCAATTAAAAGCAATTAGGAGAATATAGGATTTTATAATGTTTACCAGGCAAACATTATTTACCTAACCAGAAAGCCATTAACCTGGAATAAATTAGGGTATTGAACTAACAGACGAAAATTATAGTGTGACATAGGAAAGGTATTTGTTGTATTTATTATCATCAGGCACAGTTTTATGTTAAATAATTATTCATCCTGTATTATTTTTAACTTCATTTTCCAATGAAAGTACTATTTGAATTCTTAATTATACTGTCAAGCCTTTAATGAACGTATTATACATGACTGGTAGAAGGTAGATAATCTCCAACGAATGTGAGACGTTGTTGTTGGTAGAGAAGAAATTTATCTAAAAATTGAGAGAATGGAAGAGTTGAAATATTTTGTGCATTGAATGAATCCATGACAACGTGAGACTGCAGATGTTTTGTGCAAAGAATAGTAAAGATTACACTTTTATGTGGTATGAGTAATCACGTAAACAAAGGATGTCATTCGGGCATAAGATGGAAGTGATCTTTAGAAGAAAATAATTTCAATGGGTATTGTGCCATGTGGTATTGACACGTGTTTGAGATTTATGAAGTCAGCAATGTTATAAAGTAGAATTACAATAGCGAGAAACTATGATTTAATTTATCTACTTAATACTGGTAAAAAATAACGATTAGAATAAATAAATATTAGGATTATATATGTTATTTGATTAAGTTCCATGCCTTATATATCGTTATTCAGCAAAGCAATATTTAGAAGTGCCAAGAATATATTTTAGTATTATTCAAATGATGTAAATTAATCATCGTCATGAAGAATAGGTGCTCTCATTGATAAATGCTTCCTAATTGGGCAAGGATAATAGTTAAGTAAATTAAAACTTACTTAGAAAAAGCACACATTTTGAAGAGTGTGCAAATCAGATTTAACAATAAAAATTAGCCGATTCTCATAATGCGGTTACATAGGTAAAAAACGTGATAATTATTCATTTACTTAATTAACTCCACAGCATTTGTCCTTGAATTCTATGTAAACGTGAATTGCGCATATTTTTAAGGCCCTCAGGGTGTTAAAATCGGGTGATTTTGGAATTCACAGAAGTATACTAGATTTCAAGACAAAGTTCAGCTTTATAAATAGTCTCAGAATTTTATTGTCAAAAATTGGTTTAAACGTCCAGATATTTAGTATGATCGAAATAATACCTGATTCAAGTGATATCAATTTTAAAATGTTTTCTAAACCCTTAAACTTATAGCTCATAACTTTTCATGATTCGAATAATAAGGCCTTAGATATATCTATTGCTATGGGTGTATATATTTCACAAGCAGTTTTATTGTAATTGACGCTTCATCTGCTTTATTACCTTACCTTAGGGATATATGTTTTTTACACTTCTTGATTTATAATTAATGATTATATGTGATAAACTTGTTTAGTCGACATAATTTTGCTTTTAATCGCTTCCGAATTAACAGAATCTAGTCAATATGGATATCAGCATGCAGCCACCTATGGATACAAATTTTAATTCACCTGAGAAATTATTGAAAGCACTTCAATTCCACCAGCGGGAGCATCGTTTGACCTTATTAGAAAAACGCCAGCTTTTTAGAAATACCAAATTGTTAGTTAATACTACTAAAGCGCAAAAGCCATTGCCTGTCTAAATTATTTGTTTCATTATAGGCTAGAAGATCGAATCCTAGGTCTTACAGAGCAGATGTTAGATTTAAAGGGCAAATATGATCAACTTTTGAGAAGTACAGCTCTTTGTAAAACTGAACGCGACCAAATACGCAGAAAATATGTTGAACTTCGATCACTTATTTTCCCCTATATAAGCTTGGAAAAGGTCGCAACCCAAGAAGTTAGGAAGCCAATAAATGTAAGTTTAATTAGTTAAATCAGGCAAATCGAAACTGAATTTTTTTGTTTGACTAGCGCCTATCTTACTTAGCATTATTGAACTTGATTGATTGGAATAATGTAACCAATAAAATCAAGTTGGAAATTTTATTAGTTTCGTGAGAGTATCGATAAATAACGAATATGAAATAATGATGAATTCAATATAAATGTATTTCGATTTTAGTTAGTGAAAACTGAAAGCGAAAGTCCAGTTTTAAATAGCAAAAGAAAGATTTTGCACATTAGCAGCAAACCTATCACTAGGTAAGTTTAAATAATTCAATATTTTTAGTTCAAACTGTGAATACTTACTATATATTCATTTATACGACCAAATGGAAGTCAACCGAGGAATAAGTACATTTCATTACCTTTCAAGTTGCGAAAACTGAAAAAACCCTTTTTGAGAAAGTATCTTTATAAAAAATTGAGGTTGTTGGTACTTTACATAAATGTATATTAGACAAGAAAATGCCAGTTAGCATTCTGACTGTAGTAGTGACAAAGCAAATTGTTTGATTACCATTTACCTAAAAGAGAAATCTCTTAACGAATATAGATTAGGAGAAGAAAGAAAAACCTTTTTATAAAATAGACAACAAAAGGAACACAAGCCTCAATTAAGGAATGTAAAATATATATTTCTCAAGAGGACTTAACACGACAGAGATGAATGGAGATGAGAGTTCGTTATGCCTTCATCTTCTCAATACCCTTAACGTGATAGTCAATGTGCCAGTAAATGCAAGATAGGATTAAGTGGCGGTTGTTTTAGTTAATAATGAGTGCTTTAGGGCACTGATACAATTTAGTTTAAAATTATTTATAAAGCAAACTTATTAAAAGGAAGGTTAAAAGCTAATGGAAATGAAAAAGGGTGAAAAATAAACACTTTCATTTGGTAGTGGAGAACGATAGGAGTTAGTAGGCAATCAAATTTATATCAAATTCCAAACAACTTAGGGATAGATTGAAGTATTTATTTGTTATTTTGACCTTTTATTTACGCCAATTTTTAAGATAATTTGATTTATTAAAATTCAGGATGTATGATATATGTATAACTTTATGATATATTACTTTCCAATCGTTAAATTTTGAGAGTTTAAACAGAAGGAGTTTAAGTGAAGTAACTTTCCGACTTTCGAGTGAACATGAGGAATTTCGGT